CTCCTCCTCCACCACCACCACCTCCGGCAGCGGGATGAACCATTTCAACTCGAACGTGAACTTATCGCGACCTGACGCCTGCACATATAACAACAATTAATTCAATATTTATATCGTCAAAATCAACAATTCTTCATACAAAACAGCACGTCTAGGGCAAAGAAGGTCATTTATTAGCATTTTTATATATTCTTTTATTCTAAAAGTTGCCAAAGGAGCGGTCACTGTGTGCATAGCGTAAATATAGTGATAACTGCCCATATTGTACGGTAGGTCTGTTATAATTACTAATTATAAAAATAAAATTACCTTGTATTTGGCACAAGCGATGACGTCATTAAAGAGGAACAAATGCCTCAGTTTTCTGTGTCCATCCGATAACTCCACAATAAAGGAGTTCTTCACGAGTCGTCTTTGAGCACGGTCCGCGTTCTGTAAACCAAATGAGATCTATGAATTATTTACTTCGAAAAATGGGATCAATTTGAATAAATATCTTATACATACGGGGAACAGGGATTTTGTCTGTATAATGTTGAATTCATCGAGGAAATGCTGCGTCATATTCAAGGCGTCCGTCAACATGGCGTGATCCGGGTGACTAGCGGGTGTATATTTTATGAGATCCTGAAAATACGAAGTCACATCTTTTATCAAATCGCCATAACAAAAAAGGACGAGTAAGACAAAATGTCCAAAAAGTGAGACTCATAACATTTCGTTAGTATCACGCGAACAAGTGATACAAGTTTCTAATTAGAATATACATGCACCTATGTCATATTATGACGTCATAGTTCTGAATTCGAAAAACAAATTATAGGGACTGTAAATATTTTCAGACAACTATTTAATAACCTGAATATTCAAGTTTCAACAAATCAAAAATTTTGATTGAAATCTATACTTTTTTGGCAATTAAAACAATTTAAACGCTGTTTCTTTGAAATGCATATTAAGAATTAACTTATTAAAACTTTCATGAGATTTTATAATATATAAATTATATACTATAAACAACTTTCAAGACTGGTAGATGCAACCGAAAATTGTCACGTGAGTTATAATTAATTATTGCTCGCGACTTCTTCCGCGTGAAATTGAAGCTTATGTTACTCACTGATGAGACAGCTTCTTAATGGTGATAGATTTTTTAATCAGCCTAGTAGTTTTCGAGTTATTTCATTACATACAAAAATACAAGTATTTCCACTTTATAATATCAGTATAGATATAGCATATTAAGAAGTTGTCTATAAGTGTTATAATGGTGTGTTACATGCAGCACGAGCGCGTTCTTCTGCACCCTGGCGACGGGTTTGTGCAGCAGGTCGTCTAACGACATGGGCTGTCCGCGGCACGCGATCTGTCGCGTGAGGTCCGCAAAGCGCGGCGAGCTGCCGCAGCGGCGCCGCACCGCGTCCGTCGCGCGCCCGTAGTTGTGCAGGAACGCACCGTACACGTTTATGTTCTCCGCCTAGCAAAGAAATATTTCAAAACATTACGAGAAATACTATCGCGCGGAGTTAAGTATTCGCCTTCAATGTAGATTTTTGAATTAAATCTATACATATAATAAAATTGGGGTGTCTGTTTGTAATATTAAAAGAAAAATTCCAGATTTCGGGAAGATGATGTATTTGCGTTGCTGATAACGAAAATCGCATTGAAAAAAATTTGTCTGTCTGTCCGTAAGCCGGGTTTGTTCCGGCTGGACCGATTTCGACCGGACTTTCTCTGGAAGTTAGACGATCAGCTGACATAGACGGGCATATTATAGGTTACTTTTTTAATTCCGCCCTGCCAAAATGGCGACCGGACCGTTATCTCTGGAACGGGTGGACCGATTTAGACGGGACTTTGACTAGAAGGTAGCTGGTAAAAAGTAGATAAAATGTTACAGACGCCCTTTTTCTTAAAATTCAAATTATACAAAGTTTACAAAGTATGCAAAGTAACAGTGCATTCACAGCGAATAAGCAGTCTGGAATCGCTGCAATGTCCAGTATGACTTACAAGTTTAGCCAAATTTGTTATATATTTACTTTACTTGCATGCAAATAATATTTACCATCTTTTTGAAGTGTATGCCAACAGAGAGCGGCTCCTCCCAACTGGACACGGCCGCTTTGAGTCCTTCTAGAAAGTTCTTGTGCAGTTCATGCAGCTCGGATATCTTGTAGAATATCGTGTTGAACTCCTCTTCCGTTATCACAGGTTGCGAAGTCGATAGCGTCGCTTTTATTGCATTCATATACTGGAAAAATGTTAAAGAATTAGAAATATTAATTACGGTATTCCTTATTGAAGTTATTACTTCAATCCACATTTTAATTGTAAAACCTCTTTGAAACTCGTGGAAATGTCGAATTAAAATTTATCGGAATTTCTATTGGACTCTTCTTGGACGGAGACAACTTTTGTGGCCACTGACCTGTTCAGTACATTCTTTACATATTACTCTTTTTGATTATCTACCTTTTCCATGACGTATAGACACTCGACGTAGACCGTTTCGCTTTCAATAATACTGGTGACGATGCAGCGGTGCATCGTGAGCCGCTCCGCTTCAGCATTGCTGCTCGTATTCGACTCCTGTACAGACATAAAAATACACACTTAATACACGGAACGTGTCTTGGCACTTCAGATATAGGAATACTGTTAGTCCATACGTGCCATTAAGCCTTGTACCATACATATTTAATGGACTAGTGGCCAAGCGAGAGTTCAAAGACCCAGATTTCCTCGTCACAGTTAGGGTCGAAGTCAATTTGAAATTCAGGTTAAATGGGTGTAGGGTAATAATTTATAGTTGTTAGAGGATATGAGATATGTACTGCATAGGATATAAATGTTGTGTTCTTTTTTTCCGAATCGGAAAGTGAAATCGTTACATAGTCGATAAAAATCTCAAATACTGAATATAGTGGTAGTTAATATTTTTTAACGTTTGTGATCGAACTATTAGTATTTAGGGACATCATTAGTATTACAGAAATAAATTTCGTCACATTTAGGTAGAAACCAAAAAAAAAAAAAAAAGGAAGCTGGTAAAAAAATGTAGGAATAATTTCTTGCAATGGCGGGTTGCATAACGAGTTGACCGTGAAAAACAATGGGTCTTTAAATCGACTTGTTTAGTAACAACTCGCAAATGCATAAACATGCCGATTGGTCCTTAAAAGTGCAACATTTGGAAACATACACTCTTGCTTTGGTGCTTAGCTGTAGATACCATGAGTTTGAATTATAAAATACTTTGTACAATATATTTCTTGTTAATTTCTACAAATGTGACAAAGGCTGGCGACAGTAAGTATCTTATACTTTTGAAGTAAACAAAACGTTTATTTTTAAACGATAAAATATTTAACCTCTGTTCTTTAGCAGGTTACGAAATTAATCGGATAGATTTCTCTCCGTTTAATGATGCAATTCTTTTTAATGATATAGCTGAGATAATCAACGATTTTGACAGTAATATGGTACGTAAAAATTAGCATATTTACAAACACATCTTTTGTTTAATTAATCATAGTGGGTTAAGAGAACCAAGATTTTTCAAGGCATTACTTAAAACAGTAAAATTAGGTAATTTCCTTAAACATTCCAGTATCCCGTGGCACCAAGCGAAAGTGATAGCGATGAGAACATCGAAGACTTGTTATCTGAATACCAGCATTATCTAGACAAAGCGCACAAACAAAAGAAAATTTACGAAGAGAAATTTAAAAGTAAAAACAAAGTGCCAATGTTGCGTCACGAAAGATTCTCAAAAATCAAACCATTCCCTACAAATAAATACGTAGACTATTTTAATTCGTTATCTAATCCGTTTACGTTCACGGAAAGATCTTACGATAACAATCAATTAGACTTTTTTGTCCCTTTTAATCCAGACGTAAAATATATTCATAGACCGGAAGCTTACGGCAAAACCTCATATAAAAATAATCACAATGAGAAAGAGAAATCTATCACAGAGGAAAAGCAATACCTAAATTTACCTTTACTTTCTCCAAGAACGAATTCTGATCTTATGAAATCACCGTGCATCTGCAAAGATAATCAAATACCGTGCGATTGTAATTGCAAGCAATGTCTGATGCCGTTCGAAACAACCGCTAACGATAATTTTGACCAATCGAAACACGTAGATTTTGCTGACAATAAAGTTATTTTTCCACCGATGGCATTTAACAATGATAACATGTTCGAAAACTCATTTTCACACCGATTACCTGCAGCGGCTGATAACGATCTGAATATACGTATAAAGGTTGACATTCAACTACCGAGAATTTTAGAAAGCCTTCTAAAACAGAAGAATCGTAGTCAAGACAAAGAAATAGAATATGATGAAAAAAATTCTAAGGAAACTAGATTCCTATTTCATTCGCCTGTATCAAAATTAAATTTTCCAATACCGATAGAAATTTTCGGATTAAAAAAACCAATAAGGCTTAACAAGCATGATTCTACAGCCATGCACAAAATAACTATTCACAAGAAAAAGAAATCCAAGCTCAGTAATAATGGTAATAAGAAACACAAGAAAAAAATCATTACTTTTCACAACATAAAATTTGAACCGCAAGTAGTCCCAGAAATAAATATGAACAATAATAGTAGCTACATCAATAAAGAAATTGAAGATCACGACTCTCTACCTCAGTTGCTTACTTTCATCAACAACACTCAAAGTATTAACGAAACTAATGCACTGAATCAAAGTGTACCAGACACGGCAACTTTGTTAAACACTAATTCAAGCGCAATCCACGGTAAAGCATTAGATACACCTTTCATACATATGGAAAACAAAACATACGATTTCCATAAAACTGAAAACAGTATAGAAGTAGATTTTGTAAAGACAGTTTCGAATATCTCTACAGCGATGCCTAAAATATTACGGAATAGACGCTCAGCTGCAAATAATAAAACGATAAAACATGATGAAAAAGATACGCCAAATACAAACTTGGTAGAAAAGAAAAAACTCGCGAGTACTTTAAAAGAAACAAAGGATAACGTTAAAACATTGAACGTTGATTCCGAACTTTTATACTGGCCAAATAATTCCAAAATCACTAATGGTACCCGTATAGTTAAAAATATAACTGAAATTATTTTAGAAAGAGAAAGCAATAAAGTAAAGTTGAACATTTCCCAAGAGACGATACGTAACAATCATACGATGGCTCTGGAACACGCAATTTTCGGAAACGTCGATTGGAACGATGTGGATACTATAGCTCCCGTTTTCATGTCATTTATGGGAAAATATATTAGAGGAATATTGACGTTTTGCTCTCAAAAGACATGTCATTCCATGAAATGTGTTGATAAAGCCTGTATACATAGAATTTGTTCCCCGGAAAACAGATTTAATCACAGAGGTCACTGCAATGGATCTAACCAAACAGGTTAGTTATCAATCTGATATAAAAATATCTGTTTTTTTTTTTCTAAATTAAATTTCCTTTTTGACCAACTTCCCAAAAGAAGGAGGTACTCAATTCGTCTATATGTTTTACTTACCATCAGAAATAAGTACGTACTAAATTTAAAAAAAAATGTATACTTTCAGACAGTGTGGCTATAATGGAAACAGTAATGGATTTACCCTCTAATTTAGCATTAGAAATAGTGGATATTCTACAAGACAAAATGTTAGGCAAGGTATTTGGGAAGGCAACTCTTTGCATTGGTTCCAAATGCATCAGTTTGGTGGCGTCAAAGAAAAACTTTTTCAAATCTAAATGTTCTATAAAAGAGTTGGATACGTCGGGTCATTGTAAAAACATCAAACATTCTAAAGTGATGTAACACTATTATTTATGTACCATTGTTTTAAAATAAATGATTCATGGAAAAACAGTAAAAGTCTGACTTATTACGTTTACCTCATCGCACACCTGATAAGAAAGCGCGTACTATTGCGTGTTGGAACGCAAACATCATTTGCGATGAACACGGTTTTAAAAAATCTAAATTGTTCAATAGTATTATTTATTATAGTAATTATTGTGCATCCAAATACATATCACGCGTCTACAGTAAGTTCAGTTAATTTTGTGATAGTGTATAGCGCTTAATAATGTGAATGATTAATGTATTTTTAATATTTTAGCGGAATTCTTTTTACTTGAATCCTTGGGTAAGAAACAGAGGTCCACAATCGAAGGTAATAAAATTCGATGCTGCCGGCATGGTTGTAGAAGAGGCTATACCATCGCATACGTTTAACCCAATGAAGAGGCATACAAATCTTGTCGACATCAGGAAACTTTTTCAGTTGTATTTTCAACAGATGTACGGAGAACCTATGCCTGACAAGAAGCTAAAGATATTAACACGCTGTATAAACCACGACACATTATGCCGCTTCCTCAGTTGTCCAGATGTTTTACATTTTTGTGTTGTTTGTGAAGTTAACATAATATCAAGAGAAGACGACACTACGAATTGTTTTATACAACCTACGGGCTACTTAAACATATTAAATTTTTAAATGTTTTAAAACGTGATGTGATTGGGTTTGTGTCGTTTTTATTTATTAAAATCAGTTATGCCATTTGAAACGTTTTATAATTTATTTTTAATAAATTTATCTCATTCATAATTTATCTGTATTTATTAAAGGGTACTTTATGCTATATTTCTCTGGATCTTAGTCACATTTCAATAAACAGGACAAATGCATTCCACAGGATCGCTTATCGGTCAAACAATGTAAAATGTAACCTTTTCATAGAATTATTCCTTGAAAGAATGATGGAGAAGAAACTCTTTAATACAGTTATCTTATTTGTCTTTTGTTCAAATGCGTTAAACGTCATTTCGGTATAATTAAAAGTTTGGGCGGTATGTTGGGTCGTGGCTCATTATGTCAACATTCCCAAGGGCTTATCTCGGAGGAGATAGGGACATACCGGGCTCCAAAGTATATAAAGCTCAGGTGGGACTGTGCAAACATTTATTCCCTCAAAAGAGACGCGTGTTACCTGTCGTCATGTTGATATCTAACAAATTCGTGCATTTTTTTGTTTTGTGCGCCATCGGCACGTCGTTGAGCAGCCCGACTGAATGTAAGTATACATCTATTGAGTTACAATATCAAACAATTTTATACTAGTTACGTTTCAAAAATTAATCAAATCTATTTTCTTGTTGGTTTCTACATCCTAAAGCCTACACTCCACAATTGTAGCTATACGTGAAAAACATTTTTTCACTTACAGATGTAAGCGAGGGTCGCGGTATAGGTTCTACATTATGGGGCTGGATAACGTATCCATTTACGTGGTGGAGTTCCACATCAACTGAAAACGAAGTGGAAACCACAACGTCGATATTCACACACGATAACAACATAGAGATAGCTAAACACAACGTCACAGTGTGGTGCAACGACCAGACCTGCACCACTATGAAGTGTGACAAACACGGCTGCAGTAACATTACCTGTAACATATACGACACGGATATGTCAGGAGTGTGTAGGGAATATACTATCAAGCCTGAAGAAATTCCAACTAGCAAACCAGTCACGCAAATCACGGAGGAACAAAAGACAACAGTACCAACAGTAGTAGAAACTTCATCAACACCGACAAGTATTACGAACGCCGGAGTTGAAGAACGACCTTTAGAATTAGAAGCGGTACTCTCTTCTACAGTTCCCATTGATGACGAAGAAAAAGAGGACGATCAGTCTTAATTTTACTAAAATTATTTTGTAAATCATAGGAAAGATTGCATGTGAATTTAATGTAAGTAAGGCAAATAATTCTAATTTAAATTTGCATCCGCGTACTTATGTAAATATTATTTTTCATCACTTTAATTAGGTTAAAACATCAACAGAGTTTGAATAAGATTGTCGTGATAATTGCAAAAGACAAAGGTGTAAAATTTTAATAATTAAAAATTTTATTTGTTTTTTTTTTATGTAAGGAACTTAATTCCATGCAATCACAATAACATTTAAACCATACCTGCATAGTTTTAGGTCGATTAATTTAGGCTGCATATTAATATTTTAAGGTTAAAATAGCATTGTCGTTAACTTTTGTCCATAAAATGAAATAAACATAAAAGAAATAAAACACGGTGTTTCACTTCAATATTTGAATCATTAAATTTAAATTACAGTTTCCAATTAGACTTGTTCAATGTGATATTACTTAGAACGATTAAATTAAGAACTTTTTTAACCAATCATCGGCGGAAATGACTAGGTAATCTTTAATATTCACCCAATAATAATAAAGTGATAATATTAGATGTTACGATAAACTATCAACGGACTTGTCATAATGCTGCTTCACAAAAGGTAAGTTGATAGATTACAAATGTTGTTAAAATACTGATAGGGAAGCTATTAATGATTCATCGAAAACAATGTCTTAGTAAACGCATACATTTAGTGGTCACTTGAACAGCGTGGACAAATGTTATTAGGCATATTTTAGAAACAAAAAAAACCATACAGACGAATTGAGTTCCTTCTTTTGGGAAGTCGGTCAAAAATAAACTAATGATTACAGTGGTTTAAAAACTCAACATGTTTGACGGCCGAAGCCAAAAACTTTGCTTTTTTAAAAGAGAACAAAAGGTATAACAGATGTACTGCCATTTTTTGTGAAACAAGGAAGGAGGGAATTATGAAAATTAAGAAAGAGGATTGATAGGTACGGAAAAATTAATCAATTTTAATTTACATACATATATTTTGACAACAAAAATACAAGATAACTTTCAGCAATTATAATTAGTCACAATTGCGGTTACCGTCATTAAACAAAACCGTTAAATAACTGTTATTTAAATAAAACATTCTTATAGTTAAATCAATTCAGAAATGTACGATAACTGATTAATATATCCTCCACATTGCCCCAGTTATTAGAATAGGCACAATCGCAATCTTCCTGTCGTATTTGATTAATTGAATGGTTCACGGGATATAGTACAGCAAACGCTGAAATGTAACTTATAACAAACGTCAACTTAACCTTTGTTTTAAAAAACATAAAGTGTCTATCTATCTCACTCTAATTCAAAGAGAAAAGGAGGGATGACAATGTTAATGTATAATGAACACTCACCTGATGCTGAAGTTTCCTCAACACAGGCGGTGTTGCGCTTGCTTCTGTGTCGGAGGAAATCGTTCGAAGCAGTAGCGGAGTGTCGCTTGAGTCTGCTAATTCTGAGCCCGGTTCACCGGGATCCGCCTCCCCGCCTTGCCTGGAAATTTTACAGTGGTAGTGCCCGCGTTAACATCTTGGCACGAATGGGCCGGCACGCCCGGTGTAATACCACGACCACACAGAAGACAGGCGTGAAATGGAAACAATTCCGTGTTTCGTCTGATGAGTGTGGTGCCGGAGGCCTAATTTGGGTCCCTTTCTCTTTACCACCCTTTTCTTATAAAGGGAGGTTGGGAAGAGGAAGTGGATTTGACGGTGGAGGAGATGCATAGGAAGGAGAAATATCCTCTTTATGTGCGTCTCCTCCTCCGTCGGATAAGGGTAGGCAACGCATCTGCAATTGCGGATGTCTATGGGCAGCGGTCGCTTCGCCATTTTGGCGATTTCAGGTGGCCGCTTGCTCGTTTGCCACCTTATGTTATAAAAAAAAAAAATTAAATATTATATGCAACCGCAGTACTATTGTAACATAATGTAACCTAGTTGCAAATTATTTACGAAAGCACATAGAACCACTTAATCGCATCTTATAAACCTTCTTGAAATATTGCCAAGAACATCTCAAAAACCTCTTCTTGGCATATTGCCCAAAAGGAAACTCAATTTTCTAAGAAAATCATAATACATCAAGTTTGAAGGAAAATTTCAAAACTTTCTTAAATATCTTAAAAAATGTAATTGTTAACATTAGATTATTAGGTACGTTTCTTTCATAGTTTTAAGCTAATGTTATTATGTTACAATAATTAGAGATAACCCAATCACTTAGAGATAAATATTAAATTAAAGTTTATTTCACGCTGGTCTGTTACATCACCTTACGATTGTCGAGGTCAAGTCGATTCGATCATAGTTTCCTAATTTGGGATACCTAGACGGTACATCTCTGCGTTCGCGAACGTTTTAATTATGTAACTACAAAAGTTGGTTAATTAAACATCTATAGAACCTTTTGGAATGGTCCAATATGATTTTTTGATTTAATAATATACTAGTTAATTAATTTCATTGGATGGAAACCACTAATTATATCTACCTTCAGACATTTCAATGAATGTTATAGTTACCTACAATATTGTATGAATCGTTTATAAACTTCTTTCCTCGTCCACAATGAAATTGGCCACGTGTATTTAATTGATGTTTAAGTGGCACTTCCTCATTATTTATATTACCACATCCCAAATATAATGAGTATTTTAATTTTAATATCAAAAACTGAATTTCGCGATGTAAAAATTTAATCATATATGGTCATGTAGCTAACATAATCAATATAACAAAAAAACGCATATCACACTCAAGACTGTATTGAATCAAAAAACTAGTTCTTATAAAATTAAAAGTTTATATCCTATGTGCGTTAGTTTTACATAACTTTTAGGGTATCTGTGCTTTTATTACAACAGATTGGTATGTATTAGTATGAACAAAATTGCAA